CCTCACTACCTAGGTCATCCAATCAATTGGTGCATCCATTCACCAATTATTGCTGCACTCGTCCAATCACCCTACTCGTCTAATCAACGCACCGTAATTATCGCGGGATCGTGTTAAACCGGTTTGGCTACCGGTTTATGGGTACTTACCGCCTGAAACCGGTACCCCTCAATACGCCCCCTCAATGCGAACACGCGTTGACTCCGAGCGCCGCCGTAAGGTCCTTGTGACGTGGCCCCGGAAGCGTCTTCGCCATGATGTCCGCCAGCATCACAGAGGTCTCGCAGTACTCCAGCTTGACCTCACCACGCTTGACCTCATCACGAATGTGATGGTACTTGATGTCGATGTGCATGGCTCGACCATGGTTCACTGGGTTCTTGGTCATCTTGATGCATGACTGGTTGTCTTCGAGGATCTTGAGCTCTGGTCCCGATTCCCCTGCTGCCGTCAAATCTCGCAAAGTAGGTGGTGAACCCACTTGGCTTCTTGAATAGCTAAACTTAGCGCAATGTATTCTGCCTCGCTTGTTGACAACGACACACTTGACTGCTTTTTGCTCCCCTAACTCACGGGTGCGCTCATCAAAAGAAACGTGTAGCCCGAAGTTGACTTGCGATCGGAGTGGTCACCAGCCCAGTCTGCGTCAGAGTACCCGCGGAAATCCACTTTGTCACCCGGCTTGAAGCAGATTCCATGCGACTTAGTTTCTTGTAGATAGCGAAAGATGCGCTTTACAGCAGCCCAGTGCTCGACTTGTGGGTTCTCCATGAAGCGATAAACGTATCCCACGGCAAAGGCAATGTCCGGTCGTGTCGCGGTCATCAAGTGCATGAGTGCACCTACAGCCTCGCGGAACGGAGCGTTCACCTTGGTCGATGCACTGGTTGGGACTAGTCGAGAGCTCAAATCAGCCGGACTCACCACTGCCTTGCACTCATCCATACCAAAACGCTTAAGGATGTCGTCGACATATCGGCGCTGGCACATCGTCACACTCCCGTCAGCGCTGTACACCAATTCGATTCCTAGTACGAACGCACACTTGCCACTGTCGGTCATCTCGAAGCGCTTCTTGAGATCGCACTTGGTGGTTGCAATGAGCTCGGCCGAGCTACCAGTCGCCAAAACGTCGTCTACGTAGATCAGCAGAAGCACACAGTGACCATCCACAATCTTGATGTAGAGTCACGGGTCGTATGCTGAAACTTGAAAGCCGATGGAGCACACGTAGTCGTCGAAGGTCTCGTTCCACACGCGCGATGCTTGCTTGAGGCCGTAGATCACCTTCAACAGCTTCAGCCAGTCGAAGTCATCATCAAGTTCGACACCTTCTGGCACCATGCAGAACACCACCTCTTTCATTATGCCATACAGGAATGCTGTTACCACGTCCAGCTGGTCCAGGGGCCAGCCGAGGTACACGACCAAAGCAAAGATCATACGCAGCGCCACATACTTCACCACGGGCGAAAACGTTTCGGTGTAGTCAATGCCATACTTCTGCTTGAAGCCTTTCGCTACAAGGCGCGCCTTGTACTTCTCGATTGAACCATCCGCTTTGCGTTTGATCTTGAACACCCACTTCGTACCGATGGCCCGTTGACCGTTCGGTAACTTGGCAGCTCGGAACACACCGCGAAGTCGCATCGACTTAAGTTCGGCACGGATGGCCTTGCGCCAATGCACTTGATCAGGCCCGTTTACCGCTTCTTGGAACGTTGCCGGCTCAGCTAAATCACCAGCTTCCACTGCGTTGGTACATGCTCGCCAAAATACAGGCGGAGTAGCGTCATCGTCGTCTTGATCCTCGACGTCTTTTTCGTCTTCATCGGCCACATCACAGTCATTTCGCACACCTGATCGGCGCTTTGTTTGACGCTCAAACGAGGTTTCTCGAGCACTAGCTTCCTCCAAACCGGCAGCCTGCTGTGCAGCGCGCGATCGCGTAGTCATGCCGTGAACGTTACTTGTGCGGGACTTGCATTTCCCCGCCTGCTTGAATTCCGTTGGGCCCGCGGTTTCGGTATCGCTGATACTGAGAGAGTCGAGGTCGAGATCAGAATCTGCGTCGTCGTCACTTGGACTAGCCGTTGAAAACCCAAAGTTTTGATTTCGTTCGAAATTGACATCGCGACTAATCACCACCTGCCCCGCCTCGATGTCATAAACTCGATACGCCTTTGACACTTCTTCATATACTCATGTAAACACCCTTCCTCGAGCCTTGGGGTCCCACTCTAAGTTCTCTTTTCCCTCGGGAGTTTAGGACGTACGTCCGACACACAAACACACGCATGTTGCTTCACACTTGGGCTTGACTGTACACGCATCTCATAGGGAGTCTGCTTTCGATCTGGGTGACCGTAGACGTTCTTAGCGTAGATAGCGGCCATCGCCGCTTCGCCCCAGAAACACTTCTCCAACTTGGCACGATGCAACATGCTGCGTCCAATCGTGACGATAGTCCTGATAGCTCGTTCTGCAGTGCCGTTCGTCTGGTGCGCGTACGGAATCGTGGTTCTGCTGTTCGACGCCTCGATCTTCGTTAAACACCTTGAGTGAGTTTGTCGCGAACTCACGAGCTCCGTCATGGCCGTACGAACCTTGACCCGCTTGCCGAATTGCGTCCTCCGTGGATATTAGCTTCTTGAGGGCATTTTTATTCAGGCGGTTCGGACTTGGGCCTCGTAACCAGAAACCCCTTTCATGCCCTTCCACCTGGGCTTTCGTCCAGCGTATGAGCAGCAAAGTACTTTGATCTCCCACCCCCAACGTA